TCGCTTCTGTTCTGATTCTCTGCATCACTGGAGAGAGGATAGTTATCTCTAGCATTCCTAGGATGTCAGAAAGATAGCTGCTCTAAGGGAGGGAGGGAAAAGGGAGGAGGGGGTGGGGTTGAAGTGAGAGCTGTCTTCCCATGTGCTAGATGCTTAACACTAGGCTTAGCAGGCAAAGCATCTAATTATACCTTTTTCAGTTAATTTAAGACTATGGTTGAGACTGTGCTTTCTAAAGCACAGAACGGGGCTTTTAAAAGGCACTCAATAATATGGATGAGTTCAATTATAAAGTAATTTAACAAGATAGGAGTGGTAGACAGAAAAAAATGACTCAACTGCAAACTGTATATCTTTTTTTATTTCTAGAAATTTATGGGTACATGTCATCCAAAACCACAATACAGATATGACAGAAATGAAATCCAGTCTTTTGAGTGTTAAATCCCCTCAGTTTAAAAGTAAACTTTTCAGTCACACCTGAAAGCAGCAGGCCAATGCAAGGAAACTGCGACTACTTTAGCAGTTGGTATTTAAGTTGAAGAATAGGTATAAGAAGGGTTAAAGACGTCTGGTATCAAAATCCAGTAGTCAGGAGCCATTCTGGAAAAAATGGCATTTAATCAGGTCTTATTTTGTATTAAGGTTTGTGGGGTGGTCGTGTTCTGGCCCTGTTCAGGAAACATTTGCAATAAAAAAACATCAGGCAAAGTACATTGCAGCATATTTCTTACATTGTTATTCATGAGATTCCCTACGCCCAAGGTTTTAAACCTGCTGTACAGTATACTGCTGATGAGCAGAGGCTTGATAAACGACCTGAATTATTTTCACTGAACAAGTACATTGTTTGTGCTTTTCTGCCAAAGTTGGTCCTTCATTAAAAATCTTTGCAGATTCCAGAGTATTTAGCATGGAAAGCCCCAGCTCCATCTACAAGTTGGAACGTACGTTTCGGGTTTACATGGGAAGCAAATGGAATCCTTATTATTGTTTTCTGTTAAAAAAGCGCTTAGTTAGCATATTGTTGCCGTCTCGTTGTAGCTGAATCCTCTAATCCTGTGGGTCAGCGTGAAACTCCAGTGGCTGGCAGTCCTGCTGCCTGCTAGGGTGTGACTGGAAGCTCTTTCTGTCAGGAACATGTGGTCTCTTTACTGGAGAGGGCCTGCGTAAATCCTGTGTAAATAGAGGGAGGCTAACAAAGGGGGGTGCCCCACCGCTTCCAGCATTTGGAGCCATTTGGGGGCTGAATGTGCTAAATGCCGCTTATGCCGCCTGAAAAGTCGAGGAGAAAGGAGCATAAAATCCCTTCTTTTCTCTCCTTTCTTGCCGGACCCCGGGGGGAGGGTGTTGAGGGCCCAGGGAAGCCCAAGGTAAGAAGGCGGCGGGGTTGTTTTCTTTCTGCGCTGCCTCTGAGGGCGAAGAAGGTGTCCCGGGTCACTGTTACCCCCAACCCCCCCTCCAACCCCCCCCTCCCCTTTAATGTTGCCAAAGCCCACGCCGACTCCATGTTGCACTTCCAGAAAAGAAGTGCAGCTGTTAAACAAGAGAGCTCCAGCACAGTAGGCCATGCCCTCGGTCACCTCAAAATGATACAGAATTTCATTTTAACATGCCTGAGCAGTGCAACCCGGCAGGGGGTGAGAGAAACTGCTGTAATTAGTCATTTTAAGTATTGGTTCCGTAGGTCAAAATAAAAAAAAAGAGTGCTACTTTTATTTACAAGCCTGATTACCCTGCAACAACAAGATGAACAACAATGAAAAGCAGCATGGAAAAAAAATGGTCTTTTAAGCCAGACGCTGAAGCTTGACGTGCTGGTGCAGGATTTTGAATCTACAAAAATGAGCAGCAGAAGAAAATAGCTTCATCTTCCTAAAATTTTAGTTATATAAATGTTATTCTCGTACAGTGGTTTCTTCAATGAATTGCTAATTGCTCAATATAATAAAACAAGTCTTATTCTGAACATGTAATAGGACAAATCAGGCACTGGTTTCTTGTGCAGGTTATTTCTGCCATTTGCATCTGGCTTCTAATGATTGTAAACAAAGGTATACGTAGCTATATGTTTTTTTTTTCTCAAAATGCTTTCTCTGAAAGTGTTACAAAATTAAAAATAAAAACACTTCTCATACATGTTAGGCGCTATAAGTACTATAGCTATAAACAACCGGATTTATTCTCCTGTGCTATTATTATTGTTACTGTTTGCCTGCAGTACATTACTGACAGGTGTTAATGTGGAGAGAGTTTTTCTATTTCCCTACAGTAGTCCAGCAGCAATGTGGTCATTGTGGTCTCTGTTTTTTTTCTCTCTGGAACACCATTCAAACAGTGGTATAATGTGCTGCCACTCAGAGGCGTATCAAAGTATTAGTATTAATTCCTGAGGAGCCCAAGTCAAAGCTTTGCTAAAAGGAGCGGAGCTTTCAATTGCTCTAATGTGCCTTTTTTACCTGTAAGTTTATTCTGAGGTCTCAAAGTGTGTGTTAACAAGAGAGCATGAACTTTATGCAAATTCTGTACTCCTGTAGTTTGTAGGAAACAAATATTTAAAAGTAGTTTACTTTTTAACACACTGTAACACACTCATTTAATGCATTTCTACTATGCATATACACACATAATACAAGTAAAATAATAACTAAGTAATTTCCTGAATAATTTCCTGGGTGCCCTTCAGAACACAAATTTGTACATGGGGAAAGGTTGAAAAGCTCTTAATGGGAGGTTGTCTAATTTTTTGTCCAACTTTTAATTTTAGCTTGAGCTTTCATACCATAGGATTATATTTGATCCCTATTCTTTTCCCATCCCTTGCATACAAAAACACACACATACTTTCATTGCAAGCGCTCTAAGTAGAGGGTTTTTTTTCCCATCTCTGAGGGCACTGCTTTTCCAAAACTGCCTGGGGCTACACTATAGCACCTCGCATCCCTGCGGCCCTTTGCCCGGCTCGTAATAGCCACTCTCCATCTGTGTCACATGGACAGATGATGAGACATTTCCAGTTTCTGTTTTTTTGGAGCGCACATCCACACAGGTTAAAATGCCAGAGTTGCCAAGGAACAGTCAAAAGCCATTAGTGTTTGGGACCATTTGCCCTGCAGCACTCCTTCTTTGGCACATAAGAAAGGAATGGGGGTGGGTGTAAATCACCAGGACTCTTCAGATGTAATGAGGTTGTGCAAATTCTCCCCCCCCCCCTTTTCCTTCTGATCCAGCATCATTTTTATGATTATTTCCACCTCTTTGGCTTGCCTTCATATTTTTTCTTTTCCCATGTATCTGTGTGCATATGTATGTGTGTGTGTGCAGTGAAGAAAGGCGAGAAGACGGTTGTAGAGTTTTGTTGCTTCTGCTAACTTAGATGGAAAGGAAGCCCTTTCGGCTTTAGGGGAGGCCGGGCAGCCGTATAATGAAGTGACATGTCAGTCTGTAAATACTAAAGGGTTGACTCTTCCTTGTGCGGGACGGGATCGTGTTGCAGTGAAAATGGAAACATCAATAAAATTAATCTGCCAGCTTTTTGCTGTGGCTTTGCAGTTTCTGTGGTCAAAAGAGGTGGGTGGCAAGAGAAAGGGGAAAGACCTGTGATGCCAAAATAAAAACTTTATTAGCTAGAAAACAGTCCACTTTGTAGCTATTCTGGTCTTGCTGTGATTACTATTGTTGTTCAAGTTTAAAAAAATAGTTGAATTAGCAAGTGGTGCCCTGTTGCAGTTGTCAGGAAGCTACTCTGTGTCCAGCTCTGGCTACATCAAGTCCAGAGTTTATTGTTTTAGGCTTTCCTGAACAAGGATTTTACTTAGCGTGGGATTTATGGCATTTGCTGCTAATGAATGTCTATTCTTAAATTACAAAACTCACAGTCTCTACCCAATTCCCAGATGTCCTCCCAGGACCCCAGCTTCTTAAACATCAGCAGGGAGCACAAACTCTGCACTTCTCTGTTTTCCTCTTTCGTGTGGCTCTGGGCTAATGATGTGTAAGGAAAACACAGCGCAGGGAAAGAAGAGAAAAATAACTAGAAAAAAAAGGAGAGAAGGAGAGAGAGCCCGTACTCTGTCCTTGTATTCTTCATTTATTTTGCATTTGATTACGCCACCAGTCGGATCTTTCTTCTTCCCCCTTTTTAATGTTATTAGTTCAAATATTTATGCGCGAATATGGCTTGTATAGGTGCTCATGATTGATGCCTCCCCAAAAACAGGAAGACATGCAAGTATGAATTTTAAGAAAGTCGGGGTCCCGCAATGCCTTAGTGGAGGAGTTTTTCAGATACATAATTTAGATGCCCTCAAGGAAGGCTTTCAAGGCATTTTCGCCTGAGGGTAAGAAAAAATAACTATGACTGTTAAAAGTAAATCATTTTTGCTAATGCACAATTAATGCCAGTGAAAAGCACAGAAGAAGAGAGAGCTGGGGATGGAAACTTCGGTTTAAAGTGAGCAACCTGCCTTGATATGCACCGGTTTCTTCTTTAAGCAAAATGATGATGGACGTTAATGTAGCGGAAGCCAAAGTTGTCCTGTCATGCAAATCATGCAGTCGTAAGGGGAGGGGTTGAGGTGTGCTCTAGTCCATTATGTGCATCGCACTGTAACGCAGTGCCACCTCAGTATTTGTCCTTGGACACTTTTTTCTCAGCTCAGTTTATTATAAATTATTCAGAATATGTGTGTGAATTTGCTATGTGTGTGATTGTGCTTTTTAAAATGTCTTCACAAAAATATCTTTTTTCTCCTTATAAAATTCTAATAAGAAAACTATTTAGCATTGTGCATGATTTCTGATTGAATTAATACCGTACTTGGAGAATGATTGTCTTCCTGTTGTTTCATGCTTATTTTTCTTACCAATAATTGTACATAGTGTGTCTTTTACAACCGTGTTGTTTTCAAGAAAACTTTTTTTAGTGAGCTTTGATTAGGAATACCTGGAGTTTTGCCCTTCCTTATCCTTTTGTTTCTCTCTTCTCTTGTATGTTTCAGGTGATGGTTTAGATAACAGCGTGGCCTCACCTGGCACAGGTGACGATGACGATCCCGACAAGGACAAAAAACGACAGAAAAAAAGGGGAATTTTCCCAAAAGTAGCAACAAATATCATGAGAGCGTGGCTATTCCAACATCTCACAGTGAGTGGAAATATGCTTATTTTTAAATGTATTGCCCTGTACAGCGGCCTCATGCACAAAACTATATTTTGCCTACTTCATCTTAGGACCCTTGTGTTTGCCATACCTACTGTGAAACGGAATAACTGAATCTGCATTTTTCATTTATTTCTTTGGTTAGCTGGATGTTTGTTTCATGTTAAAATCAGTAGCTGGGATTAACATGAAATTGCTGCGTAATCCTGCAACACCTCTGAACTCCAGAAATGATCAGTCATTTGCGTTTGCAAAGCAAACTTGATTATGATGCCCTTTAAACAATCATACCAATGTTCGCTTTGTATATATAATTATTATAATTTGTTTTTCATGAATGTTTAAATACAAAAGCATGACATCTCCTGATGTATGCACACAGTTCTATCAAAAAGCCAGATGTTTATGTTTCAGTTTATACTTTATGTACCACAGAGATTAGAATAGCATTTTTGCCATTCGTTAAGCAAATTATCTTAAAAGTTAGACCACTTCAATACTGGAGATTATCTTTGAGGAGAGAGTGGCACTTTTTTTGCAGCATTCATTCTGGAGTTGTTTTTTATGTGCATGGTTTCTGTAGACTGATGGTTTTTTTATCAAGTGTTTTTCATTTTGCGAAGGTAAAAAAAACATTTTCCCCTACTCTGCGAGCTTGTGGCTGTTACTCTAGAAAAAAACATGCACCCCTGTTTAGTTGTATATAATTGCCATCGAATAATAATTTGATAGAAGAGGTACAGTATACTGCATCGTGGGATCATGTGAAGCTCTCTGGTTTCATCACATTAAATAACATTCCTTTGTTGCCCTGTACTAAATGTGTTCCTTGGTGAATTCTTCAGTGTTAATAATCACAACATTCCAACACATAGCTTGCTGAACTGCAAAATAACATTCCCCATTAGTGGGGAAGTTTGAAACTACTCAGTATAGAGTAAACTGTGTGCTTGTGTTCTCCCTGTGCTGAACATTTAGTCAGAATAGCTTTTGGTGATTATACATACAACTCAGTAACACGAATAAAATTGGCCATCTGATGAAATATTTACAGGCTGCAGAAAGTTAGTTACAGTCTCCTGGTTTGAGGCAGAGGGGTGTGAGTAGGGAGGTTCTCTCTTGAATATGTGTGCTCTGGCAGTGTGGCAGTGAGGGACTGCATGTGAAGTGACTCAGTGGTGTCAATACCCATTGAAGTGGCGTGGTAAAACAAGCAAGCAGGTGGCAATGGACAGATTTTTCCCGACTGCCACTTTTGATGTAAGGACATTATTAACTAGCAAAGGTGTATTGATTGTGGTTGTGAGGTCAGAATGCGGAGTGACTCCTCCGGAGCTGCAGATATGGGGGAGGGGAGAGTGCCGAGGTTAGCCCTGGGCTGCAGCTTAGACCCTTAAGAAGGTCAGGTGCTCCATGTGCCCACTTTGCCCAGAGGACTTAGATGGAACAGGGGTCCCAAGGCTGATTACCTAACCAAAGACAAAATAATGAGTCCTAAGCAAATACTGACTAATTGAAAGGGCTGTAAATCCATTACATATTGGTCAGGGATAATCAGGAGTATTTAATCACTTTTATCTATTCAGGAGCACTGAAGCTGCAACAGCAAAGCCCTGAACCTTGCCATGCGCTTATTATTCTCATCATTATCAAAATTACTTCACAGCTGTTCTTTGCTACATCACCTCAGCTGGAGATTTAGCAACCTGTAAAATGTTTTTAATTTGGAAGTTGAGTGAGTGTGAGAGAGAGAAACTGCTGGGAGTTTTTTTTCTTTCTGTTCTGCAGCAAGCTGAAGGCTGGTGGGCAAGTCGTTTCTTTTTTTTTTAAATCCCAGCGTACGAGTACAGGCGAAGCCACCTACCACAGTGGTTATTTTTTTACACACACGTCTGCTAGTTAATTTACTCGGCTCCTACCAAGTCGAAATTTCTTGCTTTATTGAAGGATCATTAGGCGGCTTTCCTGGCAACTAAAGGAATGTAAGTATGGCCCTCTCAGGGTTGTAGCGCTCCCTGATTTTTTTTTAAAAAGGGGGGAAAAAGTGATTCACAAAGCTTTGGAGCCTTTGCTCTATTTTCTATAGAATTGTTTTAAAATTGCATTGAAAGAGAGAAAGATGGAGAATGAAGCCCCATAGACTTGTCTAGAAGCAGTTTTTATTCATGGAAATGCAAGCTTCAAGACCTCTTTTCCCCTTTTATTATTTCTCCTGATGTTGTCTCAAATCTTTATTCGTCCCTTTTGTGAAAACCCTGGCCCGTTCTTGTACAAGCAATAATCCCTTCCTTTAAACCTACCTTTATATTTTTTGGAGTAAAAGGGGACTAATTGAATTATCCCCCCTCTACCCCCACCCCCCCACCCATCTCTTTTATTTTAATTTGTTAGGCAAATGTATTTTCCATTTCAGGATGTGTTCGTGCAGGGGGAATGCTAGGGGACTTTGGCCCTTGAATGGCCTATTGCTGCATTCTGGCATTCATGCATTCATTAACTGGGGAGAAATAAAAGAACTCTGGTTGTATTTTTTCAAACACCCGGCCAGCATGGAGCAACTTTTCCATTAACCACAGGGGTCTTTCTACATATGTTCTCAACCCCAAGCTATTGTCACCTATTCTGAAAAGCTCAAAAGGAGCCCCCAAAAACAACAAAGGCCAACAGTAACAATTGTTAGCTTTTAGATTCAGAATAACAAAATCAGTCGCCCCCCCCGGTCCCGATGCTCTCCAACTACCACTTCTTCTTTCCACCACCCACAATTTTTCATATCAGTTTAGATATCTGATTCATGAAGGGAAAATAAAATTATTTGCCTTTCCAAGTACGAGCACAAGAGCTTTCTGTTTTGTTTTTCTGGACAGTTTGATTGTTTAAGTTCAGTCTGGAGACGAGAAAAAAAAACCTAGAGATGTCATTTCCTTTAATGCACGGTGCAAAACAGAAATTACATAAGTCAGCCAGTAAAGAAGACTAGAGATTCTGCCTTTTCCTTTTCTGGATATCGTCCAATCGCAGGCGGAAAAGGGAAATCCCAGATTGTTGGTATAAGCTTTTCAATACTATGGGGAGATTATGTTATCAGAAAGGTAAACTTTACTGTTAAGGCAGATTTTACTTCACTTCAAAGATGGAGAAATAAAAGGAGGGCAGGGAATCACTCACCCCAGCCTCGGTGTATTCAGAGACTTGGAAGTGCCCTCGTGTTTCATGTGGAGGAGTCCTCAGTCCACTCAATTAGCCTCTCAGCAGCCCTAGCTTTCCTCCTCAAGAGCTCCCTGTTTATCCCGCAAAGGCAAGAGCGGACGGGAATGAAAACAGGAAATACTCAGACATGACGATACCACTTGGAGCTCTCGCGCAGCTTTTCAGCTGTAGAGCAAAACATTAGCCTCACACCAGAAATAATAATTATAGTCAAGGACAGCACCATGAATTCAATTAACTTGTGTTATATAATGGGTCAAAATCTTTACTCCAGCCTAGAGAATCACCCTAAGTGTGTTTGGAGATTCCACATGTGGCGAACTTTCATATTCCTAAGGAAATAAAAAAAAAGTTTAAAGACATGTTTTTAAAAGTCAGAACTTATAGAATTAAATCATTACTTTTACCACCATCATCATTAGTAGTAGTAGCAGCACTTTTTACAATAATAAGAAAGCTAATAACGTTATTAGCTGGACAGGGCATTGGAATTGGAAAGACGCTGGTCAGTTGTGCATTTGCACATTAGTCTCCATGGCGATGCTGTAGTGATGAAAGTCATCTTCTTGTCTGGTATATTATGCACGGCCCCTGATCTGCTGATCTACCTTTAAAAAGCTCACCATGTTACCCCTGAACATGGGCCGTGTTGCTATCCCTGACAACGGATGTTTGTCTTACCAGAAAACAAGTCCACCACTCTGAAAAGCCTGTGTTTAAGTAGACTAAACATTTACCCTTTTTCCTGTGGCCTGTTTGTGTCCTCTTAATCCGTGTGTATTGTTCCACCACCAGTGCCATTAAGCTGGTAGAACACATCTGCTAACGGTTTAAACATAGCACAAGAGCTCTCCTGCCTTGTTCCTATTTTATTTGTCCGTTTGATTTTTCTTTGACAGTTTTGTGCTTCGGAAAGTTGTTGGAAATTGTTTTACTGTGGCCTGCTGTTTTGTTTTTTTGTTTGTGATGGGGATCCGCGATCTCTTTCGCATTCATTGTTTAATGTCAGTACGAAAGATGTTTTGTGTTTTTGGGGGGGGGGTTTGGGGGGTCATTAGGGTTCAGGGCTGAGTGAGGCCCCCCAGACTCATTTGTCATGTGCTTGTTTGCCGCAGAGACTGGAAGTCACCCTTAGCAACCGAAGGACAGTTTGGTTTGGTGTGTGGAAGAAAAACAAACCTAAACAAGAAAAAAAGTCATGTTTAGGAGATCATCAGTCACAGAGCTATCTGATAAATATTGAAGGGGGCAGCTACAGTGCGCGCTTATTTCAAACAATGTTCCAAATGAATCCTATTCTACAACACACTGGTGAGGACAGAAGTCAACTCTGTCTGCCATCTGTTGTTCTCTCCCTTCTTTCTCACAATAGCCCCATGAATCTGGGAAGCAGAATCAGACCCATTGGTGATGAACTAATAACATTATTAGTAGACATATAGAATTAATTAGCGGAACTGCATGATTTCAAATGAATACTGTTATATTTATTCATTGGTGTATTTAATTTTAACCTAGAAAGCAGTGTTGTCTGCTTAGCTCTCACAAAGGAAAAACGAACTCTTAAAAAAAAAACTTACATTTATAATTTCCATGAAGTTCAGAAGCCCAGATCCTGTAACTTTTTTATTGTGGGTTGTATAATTATATAGCAGACTACATCACCTTGTATTTCATGGCAGATTCCTTTACTTACTTAAAATCCCTGTGGTGTATGTCTTTTGCTGAAAGTGATTGACAAAGCCCTGTTTACAATATGCAGGGAAAGTCTGAAG